CCCTCCCCCCGAGCTGGGTTCTCAAGGTCAGGTTGAGAACTCGTTTCAGTAAAATAGCGAACCGCTTCACAGGTGGATTTTTGCTGCTGGAGGAAGGCAGGCTGTCCCCACAGCTGCTGCCATCCCCCCCCCCAACGGAATTTGCTCCCAGCTTGCTTCTAGCTGGGCACCCATCGCCCGGGGAAGTGTCCAGACAGCCTGGTCAGGGCTCCAGCGGTGCTGCATGTCAGCTTTTCCATCTGGTCAGAAGTCCTGCCAGGTTTAACCAGAGAAGACACCTGGAGAACGTAAGAGTTGCATTCTCCTCACTCCAAATCACCCTCCAGAAACTGCATCGCTGCAGGACAGTGTGGTCTCTCCTGCAGTCACCAGCTGCTGGCTAAGAGGAGGCAAAGCGCCCAGGCAAGTCATTTAGAATAATCCTTTCTCTTCAGCACTCCATTGGCAGCAAGTGACTCCACCAGCCATGAATAAAGTTCTGTTCTCACTCAGAGCAACCCCCTTTCCAGATGGTCCCAGTGTGCAGTCGAGGTAATAAAGATTGGATTCTACTTAGATTTTTATTCAATGGGGACTCAAGGCAGGGTTTTAAGCCACAGTAACATTTCCCCTGCTCCACACCTCTTCAGGCCTTTGCTTTAAATTCAGAGATAAAGTCTTTGCCTTTTAGGGGGGACATCTAACAGCTTTCCCTGAGGTGCTATTTCTACCCACTGTAAGTCCACGCATGGAAAAACACTTTAGCTACATTGAGACCAAACAAGAAGTTGCAAGAAATGCTTGGGCTACCTGTGGGGTGCTAGGAAAGCAGATACTCTTTCATCTCACCCCCAGCTTCCACTCAAGAAGCGCAGTGCCTCTTCACTGCAGCCCACCATCACAACCAGCCACTTTGGTTTAGTTCGCTTTTGTTCTCCAAAGCCCACTAGAACAAGGAAGTTAGCTTGCAAAAAAGGGGACAATGAGCCAGCTGCCACACACTTCACCATGCTTTCTCCTCACAGCCTTGTTCTCTCCCTTCAGATTATTTTCTGTATCATCTAGCCCATACATTATTTTCCAAGATCCTCCATGCCTGTGCTGATTGGTGCTCAATGACTGACTGGGACAAGACACCGAAGACAGTGTTTGCATCATGCCTGGTCAGAGACATTGTCAGATAAATCTGTTAAAGGCCTTAACTAGCATAGGCAGGAGAAGCATAAATCTACATTTCACTAAGTTTTTGATTATTGCACATCTTTTAAACATTTGGCAACGTGGACAGATTTCTTCTTAGGGGCTGCAGTTGAGTTTGATGGCAACACCCTGTCACAGTGGGGGCAAGTGTGAGGAAGGCAACTTAGTGAGCAGACACATGGTGGTGCCTGTATCAGCCCATCTCCCCCCAGACCACTGACAGGCAGGACAGAGATCCGGATGCCAAGAGTCTTTCACCAGCACTTGCTTTTGACCTTTATTCTGCAACCAGCATCACTGACTAAGGGAGGGAGGTTACACATCTTGCTTTTTACCACCCTCCTTTAGCCCCTTTCTTCTTCTTCTGTTGCTGTTTCTTCTTGGTGGCCGGGGCACCGGCAGGTTTTTGGTGCCTGGGAGGGATGACGTTACTTGTGGCTGATACAGCTGCAGCACTGCCGGGCCGAGGGGAGGTAGGTGGGCTGCTGGCAGTCCTACTGGCATCCCTGCAGGGAAGATGAGAGCAAGAGGTACCATGTGGGTTCACAATCACCTGCAAGATGTGGCACTACTGCAGGAAGCCAACAGCAAAAAAGAGCAGCTGTCCACAAGACAGCATTAGGTGGCATTATGCATGGGAGGGCACTCATGCAAGGGGATCTTAAATAAGCTTCAATATACATAGAAGGGCTGATGGATGATGGGAACATGTCTCAAAGGGCATCAACCACCTTTTAACTGATGTTTGCTAGATAGCCTAAGTCATCAGCAAAGAAAGCAAGACTAACTTTTGTATAGATGTATGACAGCTCATGCAACACATGAGAAGCCCTCCAGGCTCTCAGGCCTAGGCAGTGCAAACCCATCATCCTTTCTCTCTTCTTAAATACAAAGGCATCTTTGTGCCAGCTCTCCTTGCAAACACTGCTCAAGCCAACAGTGCCAAAAAAGGCTTTTCATGCTTCTGTTTTGAGACAGCTGTGTAAAGAGAAACTATCAGACAGCACTGGCAATTCACTGCATTGCTATCATTTTAGAACTACTTCTTTCTCTCAGATGCTTGTGAGTCACCATCTTGCTGTCAGGCCTCACACACAATGGTAAACCCTGACTCCAGCTCAAATACTCAGTGTCAACTTAGAAGGAACCACTGTTTTCCCAAATCATGGCTAATGGCTCTGCAGCCACTTAAAGACTTGAAAGCAAATAGCTCAAGGGAAAGCATGCAAAATTCATCTCATCTTCGAACTTAATAAAAGCACATTAAAACTCGGGGAATTTTATTTGCACCTTGGCACCTTCAAGCATGCCTACCATATCATTTGGGTTTTCAACAACCTATAGGGATCTTTGGGAAGAGCAGCTGAAGGTTCAAGCAGCAAAGTATGGTTTCACTTGTGCCACCCACAGTAGCTGCACTGACAAAGCCACAGAAAAGCAGCACACGCAGCCCTCCCAGCTGCCCAGGAGCGATTCCCCACACCGTGCCCTGCAAAATGGGTACTTACAGTTCAGAAGAGCCAGTTGTGGTTGAACCCTGAGTCCCCTTGCCAATCTGATCCTTCTTCTTGCCCTTCTTCCGTCCACGATAGTAGGAACGCTCTCGCATTGGAAGCCACCGCTCAGGGTCAGGAGTCACCTTGGGGTCGTAGTTCTTAGGCAGCTTTCCTGCAGAACATCCAAACACCAGGAAATGGGATTGGAGTCAACACACTAGAGAGGCATCACCAAGGGACATACATGGGACATCAGTAGCCAGGAAGCATGGAGTCCAGCAAACCCATATCATCTTATCAAAGTGTTACTACTGCTGAAAAAAGCCCCATCTAAACAAGCTGTCATGAAGACCTGGGTTCACAGGGACCCAGTCCCAGCAAAAGCTCCAGCTCCTGGAGAGCTGAAGGCTGCGTATTTGAAGAAACAATCTGGTAAGCTCTCTGAAGCTGTGCTGTGCCAACAGCTAGGAAACTTACCCTTCTTTTTTTTCTTCTTCTTCTTCACATCCCCTTGTCTGAAAAGCAAGAAGGGAAACAGCCACTATGACACAGCATGGACATAGCACACAAGTCAATTAAAAACTAGCTCTGTAAGAAGCTAAACCATTCCCATCTCTCTCAAAACTTGGTCTGCAGCTACCTGAAGCTCCCTGCAGTTAAACAGGCTCCTTTTTCACCATCCTGCCTCCCAACAGCAATGTCCCCACCACACCAGGTGTGGTTCTTGTGCCACACCAAAGAATAACTGCATCAGAGCTACAGCAGCCCACTTTACCCTGGCTCCTTCTGCTGGTTGTCCCCAGTGAGTTTCCCAGCTTTCTTCCGAACATAGGTTGCTCCATGGGAGTTCTCCAGCGCATCAACATCTACTTTCAGTGACATGGTATCCGAGGAAGGCAAGTGTTTGCTAAGACTGCAAGGGAAGAGTTCAGGGATGCAAACCAGCAAGCAAAAAAATAAACACCCAGGTTTGTCCAGATAGCAATGGACAACTTCAGCTTGGACAAATCTGGCCTGTTAGCAATGCAGACACCCAACAGGCCTACAGGGCTAGTTCCAGCTCTCTCACCAGCTTCCTGCACAAGCTGCCTCATTTTTCCCTTCTTTGACATGGGGACAGAAGCAGCAACTTCCTCTGAAAGCTGCTCAGCGTGGCAAAAGCAGTATGTGAACAGGGTATTTTGGGTCAATGAGAGCTTAGGCATATTTTATTGGGCACAATCCTGCATTACTACCACAGGTTTAAGATTCCAGCAGCAAAGATGGAGGAGCTCCTATTTTTGGTTCCACCTAGTCTCAAGTCATCCATTCTCAGAGAAGGAGGCCAAAGACAAAAAGGTCCTGGGATCCAGCCATAACCAAACCAGTTAGGGAAATAATGTAGCTCCAGACAACTTGACCTGGATATGTAACTGCTGTGGAGATGTTCCTTGCCTTTCTTCAGGTGAAGGTGGGACTGAATTCCACACATAGTTGAAATCCAAGGGAGCAATGTTCAAATGCCTCTTTCTTTGCTTTGATGCCACCATCAAAAGGATACACTTTAGCTTTTTCAGGGTCCACCAGGGAGTAAGCAGAGATGAGCTGTGCCAGGGTATGTACATCTTTTGGGTCTTGCCTTTGTAAAAACAGAAAAAAAATGACCAAGTTACCAAGGTACAGACTCATCCCAAAGACTGGTATCACCATGCAGTGCTTGCTGCTGTAGCACAGCTGCTGTCTGTGAGGACAGGTATATCAGTCTGTTTTCTCCTCCAAAGCACATCACCAAACATCACTGGTGCAGCCAAAAGGAGGTGCAGACATCTCCACAGTATCACAAAGCAGACAACAAAAGACAAAAATCCCTCAGGTCCCAGTAGCAAAGGCAAATTAACAGTCCATTTGTCGTGTCCCCCCCCCC